CACTGGACTGTCAATATATCAGATCTCCACTCGCTACACGGAAGGCACCCTTCTTAGGTAGCAGACACAGGAATCTCAGTGGCTAGGGGCTCTGTAGGTGAAGTTTTAGGAATACGCAGGTCTTCAAAAATAATCCTACATTTTGCTTGCCATTTCTAACCTCCTCTAAAGTCATCATTCTTAGCCATTTAAGAAAGGAGAGGTTTTTCTCGAAGAAACTTCCTTTGCCAACCTCCTTTCTGCTTTGCAGTCTTGCCTGAAGAGATTACCTACCCCGAAGGCTGCGTGCGGACATGAGTGTTGCACTAAGGTTTACTTTTATTCCCTATCCCTAAAGGAGCTCAGCTGCGATTTTACCTGTGATGCTATGGATGAGGGAGAAGGTTTCAGATACTTTAAAACAATAGTGACTTTAAAAGAAAAGATTAAGAGTCTGCTCACTTTTCTGGACAACGTGAAGGCGGCAGATGGAAGGTGACCACAGACCCTTTGCCCCTCTTCCTATTAAGACGTGGGGCCTATTTCCACCCCCGCTCCCACCTCACATCTGGCTTGGCAAGTGACTGCTCTGACCAACAGAGAACGGTGGAATGAGTTTAGGCCAATTCCGGGCCAGCCTTTAAGAGAACCAGCAACTTCTACCGTGCTCTCTCGGGCCCTAAGCCATCATGTAAGAAGAGAGACCCTTCCCTGGGGAGGTTCTGAGTCTACATGGAGAAAGAGTGGTTGCACAGCAGAGTCCGGCCTCCCAGCCATCCTCACCAAGTGCCAGCAGTGTGAGTCCCCCAGACAAGACCAGCCACCAGGTAAACGTCACTGAGGGGCCCCACTCAATGTCTTGGAGAGCAGAAGAATCCTGCAGCTAAACCCTTCCTGGATTTCTGAACCATGCGTTTGTAAGATATAATGTAATGGCTGCTGGAAGCTATTCAACTTGGGGGCGGTTTGTGACGTAGCAGTGGCTCTGTAGTACAACACCAAAGCCCACAACGTGGGCAACAGTCCACCACCCACCGTGAAACATTGCCGGAGTGAATGCCTTTCGGGTATCCACCTAGCTTCCTCCTTTTATGCGACTTGGCCCAACCCCCTGCCTCCAGTCACAGTGGTGGACCTTCTCTCACCCAGACTTGCAGAACTGGGAATGAGAGGTGGCTGGTCAGCCTGGGACTGGGGCTAGAAGTCACTGAGATGTCCTTCTCAGGAGGGTGGAAGGAAGTGTGGGGAGGCAGGTCTGCTCTGGGAGAACGTAATGCAGGTGTGCAGAGGGGCAGCAGTGAGGGGCTGTGTGGCACCAAGGGAGTGAGGGGAAGAGGGGTTGTCTGGCTTGGTTTCTGGATGCTTTCTGGGTCTGCATGTACATGTTTCCTTTGGGGTCTAGGCGTACCCTTGCATCCCTAGAATTCTCTTTCTTGCTTAAGCGGCTGTGAATGGATTTCTGTTTTCATTTGTTTGTTTGTTTTTGCAACTGAAAGAAAGGGCCTTGGTGAAGTCTGAGATAAGTATGTTCAGCCCTGGAAACTGAAGGGAAAGATGGCCAGACCAGTTAGGGGACAAGAATGTCCTTCTGCTGACCTTCCCCCTGCTGGGTGAGGGCGACTGGGAGTGACCCAAGCCCAGTCTAGTCTCCTATAGGCACCACACACCCAGAATGCCTCACACCAAGCAACTCTTTCTCCAAAATGACTTCAAATCCTGCCTTCCTTACTTTGGCTAAGGGAAACCATCTATCGTCGCAGCTAAAAACAGCAAAGCACTGCTACTTCCATGCCTTCGGACCTCCTCAGTCCAACCGGCCACCAAGCCCTGCCTGCTCTCATTTGCTCCCCTCCCCAACCCCCGGGGCAACTGCCCTAGCCCCCAAACTGTCCCCAGTTCTCTCTCCTGAACAGACCTGGCCACCCACTGCTCTGCCTCCAGACCCCCCCACGCCTCCCCTGTCCCCGGGGCAGCAGGTGCTGCCACGGCCAAGGCAGACAATCCTGCTGCAGGCCGCTGCCCGCCTGGGACACGCCTCTCCACAACCTGCTCACTTTCTCACCTCCCCTTCATCAGGAGGGAATATCCATCTCATTTACGAAATGTTCTCTGACTTCTCTCAGGTGCTTCTCTGTGTTAAGCTCAGGGCCAAGTAAGCATTTTGCCTGTGTCTTTTCTATACCTCAAGCTAGAGGTAAGGGTCTCTGTTTTACTGAGGAGGAAACGGAGGGTCAGAGAGGGCGACTCTCCTAGGCCTCACCCTGGCAAGCATGCAGCCATGTTCTAGTGCACAGCCCTCAGCTGGCAGAGCACTGCTCTCACCTCCCACATGGTACTCTGTGGCCTTTCCATCCCCCTTGGGGTGAGGGATTAACGGTACCTTCTTCCCAGCTTCCACAGAAGCTTGTGCACACTCATCTCCCTCTATTATGTTTATAGGTCTGCGTGCCACGTGGGGAAGTGTTCAAGGGCAGGGAGGAGGCACAATCATCGTTGTATCCAGCTACTACCCAGTGTTTGGTTCAAAGCAAGTGTTCAGTAGATGTGAGCTGAAATGAAATATTGCTTTTGGATGCTGAGCAAAGTGGTTTTGAGCCCACAGCATATCATTCAACTGTGTCCTTAAAGCTGTTTTCAGACCACCGTCTTCCACCTCATTGGTAATGGCAAGACTTGTCGGGGGTCAGTGCCACCACCTGCTGCCATGACTCTGCTCTCTCTCCCAGCCCGAGGTAGAGGGTGGTGTCTGCTTCTCGGGTCTTGGCTCTCTGGATCCCATATAGCTGGGTGACATCTGGGTCCTGGCCACCCCATGACAGCCATCTCCTGCAACTGCATTCTTTAATAAACACAGCGGAAGCAAAGCTAGGTAGGAAGGAAGAAAGAGCCTGTGCACAGTGTTGGGACACACCCTTGGGTGGCAGAGCCCAGGTCAGTGGCCAGGAGGAGGGCACGCTCATCACAAACAGGAATGGGGCACGGCCACCACACTCCCCACTCTATGTCCCCATCTGGTCTCACGCACCCAGCCTTGGAGTATTTCCTCTCATCCAATAAGCCCAGACAAAGGCAGAAGGAAGAAATACACCCCGCCACCCCGTGCAACCAACCAAAGCCCCTTCTGTCTTCTCAGATCCCAAGCACTGAATTGGCTTTGTTCTCTATGCACAGACCAGAGGTGGTCCAGGCAGGAAGGAGTTGGAGGATGGTGGGGTAGCTGACGACCTATCTGGCCACCAAGATGAAACAAACGACAAACAGGCAGATTTTTTTTTTAAAGGTAATATCCACTTCTGGCAAATATATAGGGAAGTGGACACTTTTGATGCAGTGCTTGTGGGCGGGTAAATCGGTATAACCTTTTTAGGGGCAATTTGCGGCATGTAATCAAAGGCTTACAGTGTGCGCTTCCTTTGACTTGGCAATTCCGTTCGTAGGGTTTGTCTTAAGCACATAATGAAGAATTTGTGCAAATATTTGGCTCTGAGGATATTCACTGTGGCACCGTTAAAGGAGGTATGAAACCAGGAACCACCTAAATGCCCGTGTTGGCGTTGGACGAGTGAGGGCAGACTGTGTAGCCTCATGACCGCGCAGACAGGGGGTTTTTAATGACATGGAAAGATGCTCACAGCACTGTGTTCGGGGAAGAAAGGGTACATGGAATGAAAAGCATGGGAACATAAGATAAACTTATCTTCAAGTCATGTAACTCAATGTATTTTCCATGAAACCTCTAAACACTCTTTCAGGTGACGTAGCTCTAAGTTCAAAGAAACGAGTCCGATTGTGAGTCTAAAAAACGTGTAATAAAAACACTGTTTTTCCTGTTTCTAGACTTCTTGGATAAAAGTATATTTATTAAGCTTTTTTTTTTCAGAATTAAAAATTGGACCCACAGTTTTGACTTTAGAGGTCTTGTACCTCAAAATATATCGAGGACATTACTGGAAAATTCAACATCCTAGTCAAACGTAAGTAGGTCCCAGGAGAGTGCTTGAGCTACGTCTTTACGCAGTGAGGAAGGTCAAGAAGAGACAGTGCTGCTCATCATGGTTATTCTGGGATGTGGACTCCTGAGTGTTTTACAACTTTTTTTTCTTTCTCACTGACATGTTACAAGGTCTGATGGATGAATACAAATTATTTTGTAACCCCAAAGCAGCTGATTATTTGAATCTAAAGCATCTGTCCACAATGAGGTAAGAGGCCATTTCCACCTGCATCTGAAGCCGGAAAGGAGCCCTGGAAAAGCAGAGCTGTGGCGGCAGCAAGCCCCAGCTGGGGTCCCTGGTGCTATTCTAGGAGACACTAGAGCAGCCAGAGGCTCCCCTCATCTGGAAAACTACTATCCAGAGGAAGAGACGCACCTTCGTTAGATACTGACTGTGAGGTTGTTACTGATGAATAGAGAGGCTCTGAAGTAAAGGGGCTCCAGATCTCTGAGAGTGTGAGGCAAAGAAACCATAAGGTGAGGACATGCCCCTTTTCGAGAAAGTGACAGGAGGCAAGAAGGATGGGCAGGTGTTCCTTGGGGAAGGAGGCGGGGCAAATCTATCCCTTGGCTCACCTACAAGGGTTGGGAGAATGTACTGACTCTTTGGGGGCAGAAATCATTTTCCTATTCCACATGGGTAAAGAACAAAGAATTGTTCTGCAATCCATTTGCTTGCATGTGTCTGTTTTATAAAGTAAATGGTGAGCCACCCCAAGCCCCGCTGTTCCTCTTCAGGCTTCTGTTGTGGCATCAGGCCCTGTTAGGAGCGGCAAGAAAGGTAAGAACAGACAAGGGCTGAGACGTTTGCTGTCCTTTTAAAGGTCCAGCCTAGGCAGTGAATGGCCTCAAGAGGAGCCAAGATTCCACTGGCGCCTGCAGGGGACCCTGTCCTCCCTCCACTGTACCTGCACTGTGGAGGAAGTTCTAACCGGACACTTCTTCCAAGAGCTCCCCCTCTGGTGAGGCGGAGGGCTGGGTATCCCCGCGTGGGGGCTCCATAGGGCCCCGCGATCACCCCACTCACCTTCCAGAGCAGAACAGCCAGCAGCAGGAAGATGAGGATTCCCACCAGCAAACTGATGGCAATGATCCAGCCCACCACATAGCCCCGAGGCTCCAGGTTGTGCAAGGCTTCGAAGACCACCTAGGAGGCAAAGCAGAAGTGGGGATGATTCTCAGATAGAAGTACTGAGAGCATGACAGAGCCTGGCCAGGGCTTGACGTCTGGAGGGAAGCACAGATCTGTCCAGACTGTTGTGACCAAAGCCGGGATTTTGGTTCAGCGCTTTTCTGCTTGTAGGCTGATGGATTTTTGACAGAATCGGAAAAGGCCCTTGAAATCCAAGTCCCAGTTCTGGAAAGGGTTGTCACAACAACAAGCCTGACTTCAATATCACGTGGTAAGGATCTCAGAGGACGCAGTCCGTTCTTGATTTGGGCAATGACGGTCTCCCTTTCATTACGGTTTTGCAATGAAGGGCGTGGGCATGCTCTCCGTGTAAGACTCTACTCTTCCCAAGGGTTCACCTCACAGGTAGCTTAGGACAATCATTTGGTCAATGCCAATTGCCTGACAGACTGTTGCTCCACTGGGGCCAGGACACCATCTGTCTCGGGTCTCATGGCTTCACACACAGCAGGCCCTGCCTCCTGAAGCGCTGGGCTCTGGGTCTCCACGGGAGCCATATGCAATCCTGGCCCATGCCACAGGGAGGCCAGTTTCCCCAAGTTTTCTGGAAACTCAGCGGTGCACCGGACCTAGCCATCGACCTGCAAGAGTCAACTGGGTGCTTCTTTGCCTCATTCCACATCTGGTGACACAGCAGTGGTGGCCTGAAATGGGCCATGTATAAGGATTTACACTGCAAAAGCTGGCAGAGGAGTTAGGGCCTCCTGCCCCCCTGCCAGAGAACTGATTGCTCAACACGTATTAACACTAACTGTACCCTTTGGCTCTGTTTTAGCCTCAATGGTCATGGTAGAGTCTGGTTTTGTAGAATTCAAAGCAACCATTGTGTCCTCGCTGTTCAGTAACCTTCCCTATCATGCACTGTCCACTCGAGCTTGCTGCAAAACAGACGGAAAATTGCATGCTGGGCAGTCATTGTTTCCTTTGGCTGCCTGGCTGGCCCCCCCACCCCCCCAGGTCTTTGTCCAAGCTGGGTCATCCCCTCCTTGGGGGAAAGCCATCTAAAGCCAGCTGGACGCCAGAGGCTCTTGGAGGCTCTGCCTTTGCCGAGAAGCCTCACTTACCCTAGGAGCCCGTTGTCCTGCCCCATACCCCCAAACCACACGGGGTGATGGGGCCCAATACTGACTTTCAGTGACCAGCACTGTTTATGTCTCCTTTTAGAGCCTTGCTCCCAGCTCTCAAATTCTTCCCAAATGGTCCTCTGTGTCAGGCTTGATGGTTTTCTTGCCATCTCTTGTCTAGTTCACACAACCACCCCAAGAGGGCTTCAACACCTGCTTTATAGACGGGGACCATGGAGGCCCAGAGAGGACAAGCCTTTTGCTCTGGTCCGTGTTGCTTAAGTCAAGATTTGAACTCAGGTCTAGCAAACCCCAACCCCCCAAATCTGAGCTTGTCACCATCACACCACAGAGTGCCTAGCTGATGGTGGCTCTTCTTACAGACTAGCCCTTGGTTAAATGGACCATTTCTCGGCTGTGCCCTGATGATAAGGAAAGCCAAGTGTGAGCATCTCGATCTCACTGCGTCCATCCCCACAGCTCTGGTAGGAGGGCAGGTGTGTGCAGTGGGAGGGGCTGGATGGTCATTCAGGATGCAGAAGAGCTGCCACGGTCACACCTACAGACCCTAAATCCAAAACATTATCTCCAGGAAAACCAGGCAGAGCAGAGACCATCCCTTCCTGCATGGGGACAAGTGAAAGAAAGCTGCCTACACACATAGTAGTCATTCTGGGAATGGAGAGGAGGCCACCTTGAGGCACATACTCACTGGCTGTGTGACCTTGGGCAAGGTACTTTCCCTCTCTGAGCCTCATTTCTCTCATCTGCAAACTAGAGGTAAAACAGCACCTCCCTAGGAAATTCAAGGGGACAATGCACACAGGGTCCTGAGTCTAACATCTGGGAGAGCCCATCCTTGACAAACGGAAGGAGATTTTTCCATCAGTATTGGCAGGAAGGTATTTTTGAGGTTATGCATGCTTGGCTACTCTTTAATTAAAAAAAAAAAAAACATTTATTGATGTCTAAGATGCAAAGAGAAAAGAGAACACAACCCAAGGCACAGCTCATTAAATTTTTATATATTGCATGCTAAATGCACGTGTAATCAGCACCCAGAATAAGAAAGAGAACATGTCCAGTCCCCCCAGATGCCCGCTTTGTACCCCCTTCCTGCTAACACCCACATCAAGCATAACCAGGAGCCTGACTTCTCAGGACCTACATTAGCTGCACCTCCTTCTCTCCTCAGTACATCTGGGACGGCACAGTGTGAACTCCTGTGTCTGGCTTCTCCTTCTTCATCTTCTTCTTCTTCTTCTTCTTTTTTTTTTTTTTTTTTTTTTTAAAGATTTTACGTACTTATTTGGGAGAGAGAGCATAAGCAGGAGGAGAGGCAGAGGGAGAAGCAGGCACCCTGAGGAGCAGAGCGCCCCATGTGGGGCTCGATCCCAGGACCCCAGGATCATGACCCGAGCCGAAGGCAGATGCTTCACCGACTGAGCCACGAGGAGGCCCCTGTGTCTGGCTTCCTTCTCTCACTGTCGTGTCTGGGGGACTCATCCAGCATGTTTATGCTCACTGCTGTAGAGAACTGCCCAGTGTGAACCCACTGCAATCTGTTTATTCATCCTCTCCCTTTAGGGGCTGCCACCAAGAGGGTTTTCAGACATGGAGCAGCCCTGAAGGTGATGCGAGGTAGAGGCCCAGAGAAGGGGTCTGAAGTCTGTCATCATACGTCCACTACTTTCTATCTGGTCCAGCTAGAGTCTCCTGTCTTTAAAGACGGATGTGTGCCTTTGGGTTCTTGCCCCTAAAAAGCTGTGGACTGAACCACCTCCCACATTCAAAATCTCTCACGGGGTCTAGTACAGATGAGCCTTGAGGCACTGTGGCCAACAGGTATGACTTCAGGCAACCGAAGTACTGCTCTCAGTTTCCCGAGTTGTGAAATGGCGGCTTTAAAGGGAACAATCAGGCAGTGTTGTGAAAGCGCCTGGTGATTGGTCACGTAACACAAGGCTGCAAAGCTTCCTTGACAGTAAGGTGCTGAGGCAGGCCGTGAGCGCAGCGTGGGCCCGCCATAGTCCAGCTCTTCTCAGAGCACCAAAGGCTTCTTGGGGACCCAGCCTGCCCCTCGCTGCCCAAAATCTGCATCCTGGCAAAGCTGCACAAAAAAGCTCTGGTTTTGTGGATACAGACACAGTCAAGAGTATCCACTGCAGTTTAGTCTAGAAAATTCTGCAAGAGTGCCCTGACACTTCCCTGGAATGTGTGTTTAATCTTTCCTTATTTTTAGCAATGCTGTTCCTCCTCTTGGATGTGTGTCTTGTGCTTTGGCAGAGATGGTCCCTGCACGTCAAGACTCTAATTAAAGTCCATCTGGGGGAGAAAATCAAGAGTGTCCTGTGGTTTTAAGAAGTCACGTCTCAGATAAGACCCCAAAGGAAGGCACAGCTGCTGGACTACGACGGGGATGAGGTTGGGAGTCAAGAAACAGTGACCCCGAGGCTTCGTCTCCACCACTGATGAGCCAGTGACCCAAGTCAAACCCCTGTACCTTTCCATGTATCTTTTCTCTCTGTTTTCTTGTTTCCGTCCTGTCCCCAGTCTCTGTCCCAGGTCAGCTCCTGGTCTGCATTCCCTGCATCATTTTGGGAGCCCTGGGGAGGCCCCCCTGCTGTCAGGAGTGTCTTTGTAAAATGCAGGTTTTCTCATGCTTCTCTGCTTACAATACTGATGTGAATACACCATCCAGGGGCCCAGGAGCTTTACAGTCTGGTCTCCCTCCTGCCTTGTCAGCCCCTCACCGGGCAACCATACACATCCTAGCTAGTCTGCATCAACTTGTCTGTGGGGCCCGTGCTCAGGCCACTTGGAATGACCTTCAGTTCTTGTCCACTTGGCAAACTCCAATATTACTCATCTTAAAAATGTACATACCCTTTGGTCCATTAATTCCGTACTTGAAAATTTACTCAAAGGCAAAGAAATATAAAATACAGAAAAAGTTTTGCCTCCAAAGATGTTCATTGCACAATTATTTATCCTCACACAGAACAGAGATTTCCCCAACGCCCAACAACAGGGCAACAGGTAAGTCAGTATATAATTATGGTTAATCACGATGTGGACTTCCATAGAGCTATTCAAAAGGATGATAATAAATCGCGCTGTCAAAGCACAATTTTCAACAAGCTGAAGACATGCCTCTCCCACAAATACAGAGTGAACAACTGTTAAAGACGTATTTAATTCATTATGAAGGGGGATCAATGGGATGGTGAAACTAGTTCAAAGAAGGATGGTGAAAATCAGATGCAAAACTGGGTAGTAGCCCACAGGGTGCTGAACTACAACCTTTGGGATTTTATTTTCTGCCGGAGAGAGAAGTCATTTTCACCTTTACTGGCAAAAGGCATTTATAACTGATCAGTCTTCTACAATCAACTTGTAACTTCACAGAATCCAGGCCCTAGAGCGTTAGGCAGCCCTGCTAAACCTTTTCTCAGATTTTAGTGAATCGAAGGTCCACATGAGGAACCTGGTTACAATGCAGATTCTGCATCTCTGAGTTTGGGCTGGGGCCCTGGGAATGTTCCAGTCTACCATTGGAAGGATGTGCAATCATCTTTTTGCCTGATTTCCACGTTTTAAGTACTTTCAGAAAACATGATAACAGCATGGGAAAAATGAAAATTTTACAACGTCAAGTGAAAAAAATGAGAATATCGATTTACTGTCTAGATCATATCAGCTTTGCAGAAAAAATGGTAGGACATTTCAAAAGTACACAGGCGCTTTTTGGTATAACGGGAAATTTTTTTCTTTTTTCTACTTTTTTTGCTATTAAAATTTTTCTTAACTGAGCATTTCAAAGCCAGGTTTAAAAAAAAAAAAATTGAGAGAGACTGGGCTCCAACATCTCCGTTCCAAGAAGCCTGACCC